CGGGCGCGGGGGACGTGCCGCCACTGGGCCGGGGGGGTCGCGCGGCCGTTACCGCGACGGCGGAGCGAGGCGACGGGGTGGCCTTGGCCTACCTGAGTCCTCAGCTAGCGGCGTAAGGACGCTTCGTAAAAGGCAGCCGTGAGTCGGCGTAAAAGGGAGAAGTGTCCCCGGGCTCTCGGCAGGCTCACGCAAATGCATTAGCTCTCACGGTGAAGCCGTGGCACAGCACCCAGGCACGGTGAACCACAGCCGAGTGACAGTAATAAATACAGCAGTCGTTACCGTCTCACAAGAAGCCACAGTGACTGCTAGCAGAGCACAGTATCTGTGCACACTACATACATACACACACATGAAAATAAAATATAGGACTTCTATACAGCATAGTGATTCTACACACAAAACTGACAAAAGAACAAAGCAGACTGGTAACGGCGTTCTCCCAAAGCACACACACCACAGAAATGAAAGGTGTTACATGTTTCTTCCAAAAATTCCCATTTCTTGCACCCTACCAGTAAATATGCAGCAGGCAGCATGGACAAACATTTGTCGCTCAGAGAGCTACGTCAAATGAAGCCAGCACAGGTAGCAGTGGCGGAAGAGATCTGCTAGTGCTCCTGCTTTTGCTGAGAGCGTGGTTCCAGACACAGCTGAGTCAACGCAAGGGTTCATTGCAGGGAAAGGGATCAGTTCCTGCTCCCTGTCGCCTCTGCTCTTCTGCTCTTTCTCCACTTCATGCGCTTATTTTCAAGTGTGAGCTGCACTAATGCAGCATGTTTTGTGATACCATATTCTAAAACACTACCACGAATGATGTCTGTTGGCAGTACAGCCCTCACCCGCAGTCTTGCGAAACACACCAGTTTGTGTTACGTGAGGCCAAGCAGGTAAATGGGCCGTGCACAGGTCAGGCTCCCTGGCCCAGAGTGGGGGTAACACTCTGGGCCAGGGAGCCCAGCAGCACACAGAAGCAGTAACAAGTGCCACGAAAGTTCAGACTTCCCAGGAACATGGAGAGCTAAATGCAGGCTGACCCCAGGTGCCCGCAAAATTGAGATAGAAGGTAGCTTTGTTTCTGACAACAGCTGGTTCTGAAGCACTAAATATTTGCAGTCTTTCCAGTTAATTCAGCTGGAGGAAGTTTGCTCTTAGCCAAAAGAACCGGATTTTGGGAAGTACTGTGATTCATATAAAAGTAATATGTATTTAAATACAGTCTGAAAAGCTAATGACAGCATTAAAAACGTTCCAGGGAGTCAAGGTTGAAGAACGACCCTGAGCTCAAGTTTGGGGAGTAGAGGTGAAAGGGGTGAACAGATCGGTGATAATGTTGTGATTGGGTGAAATACAGGTTTAGACATGTGACTGCTGGCCCCCATTTTCCCTAGTGGAATGGGGTGATAAAAAATGGTATCATGATAATACAGGCCTTGCTAAAAAAGGCCATGGAACCAGGCTGTTTACCATATTTAGCACTACAAAATTACAGCGGGCACCAGCAGCTCTTGGTTGTCACCTGCTGACATTTTGTTCAACATAAAAAAAATGAAAACACGGTTGCCTGCACTGTTTGAAACCATGCGAGTCCCTGGGGGCTTGCAGAAACCTTGGTGTGAGTTCGGGTCTCTGAGCTGCTGCCGCTGCAGGGAAAAGGTGCTCTGTCTTTATGAGGTGAAGAAAAGGAGACACATATCACAGCAGGGTCACCGAGCTGCCTGCCACCAAATGCAGTTTGGACAACCACCCACTAGGGAGAGGCAGCAACATGTCCGCACTGCATAAGGAAGGAAACAAGGGGTGCTCCACTGCCGCTCTGCTCTGGGGGCTCATGGACAGACAACAGCGAACATTGCGCAAGACTGCTTAGAAGCAGTGGCCTTTCCTGTGCTCACGGAGATCTGGCTGCCAAGGCAAAGGACACACGGGGTGTCCTACGGTCAGAGTCCATCTCAGGCACTACCTGAATGTCACCGACATTGCAGAGCACCCTTCTGTGCCCATTCACCATATATGTATCTGAAATTTTGTGATAGATCCATGTTAACCTTTAAATAAGGTTACTTACCTTGGCTGTTACTGCCAAGTTTGGCTGGGGAGGGAGGCACTGCAAAATGCACCCCTAAGACTTTCTCCCACTTTTTGACTGGACCCTTTTGCTGTGCAGTGAAGTGGCCTGAGTTACAGAGTCCCCTTGTTGAAGGCCTGGACCCCATCAGGCCAATGCTGGGTCATTTCAGCTGTCTCTCTCCCCATACCACCCCTCTCCCAGGCCCCTGTCTGCTGTGGATCAGACACATATCATTGCTTTTGCATCTGCAGCTGCAGTTCATTACTATAGGAATAGGGGACATAGCGACAACTGGAATAGCAGAAATCACAAACCAACACAGACACAAATAAAGGGACAGGCCGTAAAGCACTGGGAACCAAATCTTCCTCAGAGAGTGACAGAAAACCTGCAGAGCTCTGGAAAACATGATCTGCACCTCTAAGTACCCAGGACAGACCACACGGTTACTTTTTTCTCTGGGTATTCTCTGTTAAGTGTCACTCCAGTAGTTACAGCGTTAATAAATACAGTGGAAGAGGCTGCTCTGTAAGCTGACCTACATGGTCACATGCACTGGTTTTATTTTTAACATCCCAAACCACTTGATGTTTCTGCTTGGGCTTGCTCTGTGCCCTCCCATTCTGTCCTCTTTCTCTGCTTCCATTTATACCTTATCCATCTCACTTCAACCCAGCTGAGCAAAACGAAGTGAACAAGTGTTTGGTGCAAACACAGGGACTCTATGATTAAGGTAAGGCTTTGTAAGTGGAGTTGGAGTCTTTACTGATCGAAGCATATGTGATGGTTATTCTGTCAAGCTATGAAAATCAAGACATGCCTTCAAAATAATCTTAGTGGCTAGGATGAGGTAGAATAATTAAACAGAAGATGTCTTAAGTGACACCCTAAAACAGAGGCAGCTGTTAACTTTTGTGACGCGTTACTCTAAAAACAGAACCGCCATTATTTATTCAGTGGATTTGACATGATTTGCAACACTGTATTTGCTTTTATTTTTGTTTTTTTTTAACAAAGATGCTGACTATAAAATGTGAACTTCAGACTTGACAATAATTCAGTTGTAAATTTTCAACAAACTGGAGAAGAGTAAAAGGAGTCATACAAGCAGATACACTAAAGATCAGCGAAGAAGCAGGAGCAATCTTGTGACAAAAGTGCTAAGACTTAAAATCCAATGAGTTTTAATATGTTCAAATGCAAAATTGTCCTGAATCAAAAGATGGAGTAAGAACCAGAAGTGTTGCAGGTACTACTGTACCATTTAGCATTATTTCTGCTTAGCAGTTTTTATTTTCTTGTTTTTATGAGTTAACCATTAGCTCTGAAATTCTCTGTGCTGAGCAACTGTCTTGGGCTGATTTTTTATTTTGTTTTACTTAAAACCACTCACTTGATTATGTCAAGAAGTTTTCAGGGAAATGTGTTAATGATATTGTTACCAGGGAGTAAAATAGAACCTGAGCCCAAAGATTAAAAAAAAAAAAAAAAAAAAACAGATAAACAGATTGGGCTATTATATTTTTTCTCAAACTGCAATTAAACTAGAACTTGTTATTTTAAAGTGCTTATGGAACCTAAACCAGAACTAAACCCATTTGCCAGTTACTGGTGCGAAGTTAAGGGTTTGCTTAATAGCATACGTCTCTACCAAGGACAGCACAGGGGCCCTTCTCCCTTTGCTGCCCGGCCCCTCATGGCTCTGCGGGAGGCTCAGCACAAGACCCTTCTGCTGTGTTTGAGGCTGTGCTACGTTGCCCAGCACCATACTGCAAGCTCAGGGGGTCACTTCAGCACATGGAGTTTATTTTTCTTTATTTTTGGCCTTTGTCTAAGGAGAGATACAACTAAGTTGTTAGCCATGCCCCACCTCAACCCTCCCCTCCTATTCCTAGAAGAGCACTAGTGCATCTGCCTGGATAAACACTGTAAACCAAGCTCCCCTGCCTCTGTATTGCATGTGTGCAGCACAGGTCTGGGGGGTGGGAGGCCATGGATGCCCCAGCCTCTCTTCAGCTCCATAATCCTGCATGCCAGATTTAGGGAGCTGAAGAAGATCTGATGTACTGTTGTGCTCTGCAAGAAAAGCAAAGCAGGGAGCAAGGGCTGAGGTCTCTGCATGACTGGCGCCCTGTACTGTGGACCCACAGTGTATCTGCCAATTTAGAACTTTTTTTTTTCAATTCCGGCTCTTTCAGTAATTCTGAATCAGTGGTTAATGCCACAAAACGGCCCTGCTTCAGTCAGCTGATGCCCAGCTAGAAAATACAGGGAATGGCTCCCTAACTGTCCCAGCATCATCTCCATCTCTCCTTGGGTTTTTCTGACGGGACAGCTATCTCACTGAAAACCTTTAGGCTCTCTGTCTTATTCCAGGAATTTGAGGTTCACCAGAAGTGTTGCCTTGCAGTTGAAGCACCCCTATGAAATCCACACCAGCTTATGCACATTCTACATCTCTGAGAAACCGTGGCTTTCACGCATGCAGCAGCAGTTCACTAGAGATCCTGAGAACATTTCACATGTAGCTTTTACACTGCCTTTCCACTCACCCCGAGTTGCAGCACTCTCGCTCTGGGACTCATTTGAAGCTAGGTTGACAAGATGACATGAGCACAGTCTGAGCAGCGATTGCAGAGCAGGAGTAACACGGAGGACAGTCAAACACTACTCCTAAGGCAAATCAAGTTGTAGCTGTCCCCGCTGCAGGGTGTATACTAAATTGGAGGTCACTATGATACCAGATGATGGCATTCTTGGATTTGCTTTTTATTTTCAATTCATTGTATCAAAGAATAGGACTTTAGAAAATTCTCCAGAGTCATGGCCAAATGCAATATGCTACACTGCACAAAAAGAGAAGGTCTCTAGCCTAAGGAGATATCAGTGCTACTCTAGAGAATGTTTTCCTACCCAGTCTCTGCTGGGGGCTTTTTGCTGAAGGCATCCCACTGTGAGTGAAATATCAGAACCTAAGTATCTCTGAGTGTGGCATATATTTTTAATCTAAAGTATTCTATATGATTATTTTAATCTTTCCATGCTCCAGCTGTCAGATAGGAGTAATAATATCTATTTACCTCTAGTACTGCAAGGATTAATTCATTATGGATTGTGAACCACTCAGTTATTAAGATAAAAAATATCTTCAAAAAGCTTGAAAGGAAATTAGTAACTATGTACTTAAAGGTTTAGGTGTTATGCTGAAAATAAGGTAATGGCTACATAATGGGTAATAACAATTAAAAGAAATAGCAAATTCCTGCTACCTGTCCTCTATACTCCAAAATATTTGCTTTCCTTTAAAATTTTTTTTTTGTCGTAACATCATACATAACTTTAAAATTTTTAGCTCCAAACTTGCCAGAGATTTTTACAAACTGTGTATGTCACTTGTCAGTCTTCAAAAGATTTTTTTTTTATGGTCATTTATGATTATATTTCAGAGGCACTCTGTAAGCCAATTATTTGAGGTTTCTGGTAGGCCTTTCTGATGGTTCCCTAAAATGGGAGTCATCCCTCGATTCTGTAAGAATATTAGTTCTCCACATATGGCAGATAACAAACAGGAAAACAAATGTATTGTTTTGGCTCATTGACTACAGCTGAATTAAATACACACCAAAAATAAAATATATTTAATTTATAAACCATAAATCATTATCAGTGAAAAGATCTGCTCCAAACACAGACATATCGGCAGTTAGAATAGCAGCTGTATATTTTTAAACCTTGCTTTATTTGCTGTCATTGCAGTCTAAAAATAAGGATTTACCAAAGTGGACAAAATGCGGACTATAATTTATATCCTTTCATTCTGTGGTAGCTTGAAGATGATTCAAATAGACATTTCTACTGTTTTTTTTTTTAAATCCAATTATTAGAAGATATTGCAAGTTGCAGAGAAACAAGGAGTATGTAGAAATGTTTCACTATCTGGTGCATGTGTCCCATCTCTCTCTGAATTTTGTGTGTCAAACTTAGTAAGGCAAGAATTTGTAAATTATTATTGTTTTGAAAGTTGATTGTAAATTGTGCACTGATGATAATATCATTAACTAAAATGCAGAGCTAATACCAGCATGTCAGAATATGAGACACATGCAAAATACCTGGCAGAGAATGATATATATGAGAAAAAAAAATCTTTCTTTTTGTCCTCTAGCTTAAGAGATTTAACACTAAGGAGAAAGGTATAGAAATCATTTTTCTGATAGAACAACACATTCAACTTAGAGATGAAGCAAACTAAACTAAAAATGGCAGATCCAAATAACGACTTCCCTATCTTCCCTTCCTTGTGAAGATTGATTCTGGGTCTAAATACTATGATATCATCACTTTTCATAAGAAAAACAAAGTTTTATTTACCAGTTATTTCTTTCTGAGAGTTAACTTTGCAGTGGAAAGTATTGTTCATACATTCATGTTTTTATTGCAGCGTAATGTACCCAGCCTTCTTCTGACCTTATGCAAGTCATAGCTGGGACTATTTTTAGAAATTATATTTGCAGCAGAATGCTACAAGAATGAAAGTAGCAGGGATGCTGCCAACGAGAAATATATCCATCTGTGTCTCTCACTTCCCTGAGCTGCACAGAGGTGGATCAAACTAAGCAGTCTAAAGAGGAGTAGATACCATCCTAAAGATTGTGTATTAGAGGCTGAACCTGGCTGGGGCCATCCCTGTGCAGAACCCAGTGCAGAAATCCAAAGAAGGCAAGGAACACAATAATAGATAGTTATGAAATATTACTTTTCTGTATTGCTTTCTTGAGTTTATCCCATGTGTGCAAAGAAAGTCCAAGGTACTCAAGCTTACATTTCGGAGTGTATGGTTGTCCCTGGGTAAAGGGATCACAAAGGACTTGTTCCCCCACTATGCAGGATGGAGGGCTGATTCAGTAAGATGAAATGCAGCAGATGAAATGAAGATGTGTTGAGCAATCAATGCACATCAAATTCCAACACATATGTGCAGTCTTCCATGAGGGTGGGAAAGAGCATGAAGTGCTTTCCCCAGACATCTTTGCTTATACCGACTTCCATGGCCTGAGTGTGAAGGTATGAAAGGTGAGTCATTGAAACAGTACAACACAGTACAATAGCAGTTTTGTTATTGGGCTTCAGGAGTATTATATTTCCTTTATGTATTATGGATTTTTAAAGAGAGGTTTGGAAAAAATATGTACATTTTGAAACCACAGAAGTACAAAGCTGTGAGAACTGAAATGCAGTCTTCCATAAGAAAACATGTAGCTTGTTTACATGATAAAGCTGCTTGAAATGTCTGAAACATTTGTGTTGGCATCCACAGCTACTTCTGTTAATCCAGTCTGTCAGTTGCAGAATGTTAAATTATGGAGCTGCCTGATGGCAGCTGAATTAGGAAACAGAGATTAGACTGGTATTGTTCATTTCCGTTCTTGTTGCCTGAGTCCTGCTTCTCTATTTTCTGGCCCACTGTGGTATTACTTGAAGACAAAATCTTCAAAAACAGTATATAAAACACGATGAAGTCACAATCACCTATTCCATTTCAGGTAGTGTTTCACATTGTGTTTTCAGAAGTACATGGGATGAACTGAAAACCAGAGCAATGATGACTTGTTTGTGGGAACATGCTCTAAAATAAATAAGTGATCCAGATTTTAAAATATCCAGAGAGAAATAAATATTTCTTAAAGAGACTTTCTGTAAAAAGCTTGCTCAGAGCTGAGCTCTCCTATACTGGCATCGGAAGGGAAAATCTCTGCTGATATTTGACATTACTCTTTTGCTCTGACTACACTACTGCGGTGCTGAATGGGGCATAGCATAAACAATGCCTACTCTCTTCTCCTCCTTCATATCTACTTGACACTGGAGACAGCAAAAGAAAGCAAGGTGATGACCAAATGGGAATTTTGGTCTGTTAAAAAAAAAAAAAAAAAAAAGAGCTCTTCTCCAAACACTGCAGCCTAAAGGATCACCTCAGGCAGGGTTTTGGCTCCTCCAAGCGAATATGACAGAAATCAGCCTGAAGGAAAGTCTCTAGCAGTCTCTGTTCCATAACATGATGCATCATTTAGGAATATACTGATAAATCAGGAAAGAAGAGCAAAGAAGACTAGGCAAACCAGCCTTCACCCAAGCTGTTTAGCACTTTACAGAATGTTATCTCGTAAACATCCCTGACTCTTAGTCTCCCTCAATAGCCATATGACCAATTAATTTTTCTATGGAGGAGGAAAAAAGGTTGTCTTTCCTACACAAATAAAATTGACGAAATGTGGAACGTTTCTGTGCTCTCATATAATTTATTTTGCAGTCTTGATTTCAGCAATTTGGAATTGACTGAATCAGTGCAAATATAGGGACAGAAATTAGGTCACTCTCTCAAAGCTTTGCTTCCTCTGTTGGTCTACTGGCTAAAGACCTGTAAGACCCTACCTATATACTGCTGCTATCAGGCTACCTTGTAACAGAGGGGTCTCTGCTCCTATGTAATCAGAAGTCATTTGCCCACAGTCTTATTTCCTCTAAAACTGCATGTGAACAGTTCCACCATGTGGAAATCAAGCTCACACAATCTGACCACCATTCTTGTTCCTCCAGACAATAATGCTTTTCTCCTTGTGTTTGATACATGCAGTACCGGGCTCAGAAGCCTCCCCCTGGGCAGCACAGGCACTGTGAGAGATGTTTCAGCCGGCACTGCCGTGCACCAATTGAGCCCTCCATCTCCTGCATGGTGATCAGCTGCCGCCTTCACTGTGGGGCCACCTTTCACATGTGCAAGGAGGAGGAGCACCAATTGCTCTGTCCCTTAGAGCATGTGTCCTGCCTCAACTCAGCCTATGGCTGTCCTTTCTCCATGGCCCGCTTTAAGCTAGCGAAGCACCTTCAGGTTTGTCCAGCCAGTGTTGTCTGCTGCTCAATGGAGTGGAATCGTTGGCCGAATGTGGATTCAGACACAACCCTCCATGAGAACATTATGAAGGAAACCTTGAATGAAGACTGTCTTGACACGGCCTTGGCCCTCAGAGACCAGAATATACTTTTCAGGACTTTGAAAATGGCTGAATTGTTTCCAGAATGGAGGGAAAAGTCTGAAGTGGAAGAGCTAAAGGATGAAGACACAGGGGAGGAAGAAGGTGCTGTGGGAGGATTAACCTGTGGTTCCCAAGGTGATAACCAATCATCTGAGCTTAGCCAACGTGAGCGTGAAGAATTAGCAAAAGACAAAGAAGGAATGGATCTGGGGGGTTACAAAACCTGGGAGAACATTTTCAGCAAAGAGCTCTCAGCTTGCCAGGTTACAGGCTCAGCAGCCAGCACAGGACAAAGAAAACAGCATCAGCCCCCAGCACTGATACCTCCACAAAGAAGGCAAAGGAAGCACCTGATGTAGAAGAAGCAAAAGACCAAAAGCCAGCACAGGTATCATCAAATGCAGAAATGACAGGACTGGCTCCCTGGCAAGAAGGAGTCCTGGAGAGGTTGAAGAAAGAAGTTGGTGTAGCTGATTACAATATGTATCTGGTACATCACGGAGGAATGCTCATTCGCTTTGGCCAGCTAGCTGCCTGCACTCCCAAAGAAAAAGACTTTGTGTATGGGAACTTAGAAGCTCAGGAGGTAAAGACTGTGTACACCTTTAAAGTGCCAGTTAGCTATTGTGGCAAAAGAGCACGACTAGGAGATGCCTTGGGACACAAGATGCCAACCTCAGAGAAGTTGGTAGACACCTCAGAATTGGGAATAAGCATAGAAGAACTACCTAAAGCAAATATAATTAAAACCACACTGTTGTGTGCACTGGAAAAAGAACTGAAAGGCCATGAGATCTCTGAAGCAAGGGGTATTGATGGACTTTTTGTGGATTTTGCAACACAGACCTACAACTTTCAGGTGGAGCCCTTCTCCTCCACTACCGTTCTGGCAGATATTGTGGATGAAAAAAGTGCACTCGAACTCCACGTGGAGCTCTACACAGAATGTGTAACAAGGAGACACAACAAAAGCAGTTCAGCTTTCACATTCACGTGCAGTCACTTCTTCAGGAGGGACGAGTTCCCATCACATTTCAAGAATGTGCATGCTGATATCCAGTCATGTCTGGATGGATGGTTCCAGCATCGTTGTCCACTGGCCTACTTGGGATGCACCTATGTTCAAAACCACTTCCGCCCTGCTGGACTTAAGGCCAAGGTTATATACAGCCAGCCTCTCAAGACATTTGCTATTAAACCAGAGGTTGACACCCTTCTGGCTGAATCAGGGAAATTCAACTCCACAGTGGTTAATAGAGGGAGAAATAAAGACTCACTGAGTAGCCTTCCAGTAGAAGTGCTCAAGTACATTGCTGGGTTCCTGGACAGCTTCAGCTTATCTCAGCTATCACAAGTGTCAGTGCTCATGCGGGAAATCTGTGCCACTCTTCTTCAAGAGAGAGGAATGGTCCTACTGGTTTGGGAGAAAAAAAGATATTCCCACGGAGGTACTTCATGGAAAGCTCGCAGAAAGGCAAGTGACTGATATTGGGAAAAGAATAGTCATGGGTTCTCTCCAGGAAAAAAAAAAAAAAAAAAAAAAGCATAGCAAGTGACATTGCATGTAAGAAATGGGGAAGGATCATGAGGTTTTAAATTGAAGCATAGAGGGTGCAAGCATAGAGGGTGCAGGGAAGGAAAGCAAAGGTAGGAAGGTATAAATGAGTTCCTACTGACCAGCTGCATGTTTCCGCACAGGTTTGCTTTGCGTAACTTGTTAGCATAGGTGCTCTGATTTGAGAATACTTGATGCTTAAAGGTTACACACAAGTTTTTGAAGAACTTGAGATTTGTCCTTTTCTTTTATCCTCTTTACAAGCTAGTCTAGGGGATCTTTAAACTAAAATATGCTTCAGAACATCAACAAGTGTAAAGTATAACAATATGTGACTGCGAAAGGAGTTCAGGATTCACATCAACCTCCTAAGGTTTTCATGATTCACAAGGCTTTGCATCGTTCACAAGGCTGCCATAAAAGTCTGTTTTTTTGGGATGTGAGCACCTGAGGGAGAAGCATGTAGATAGAAAGGCCTTTCTTGTTAAGCTGGTGGTTTGAAACTGGCCTCCTACTGTTTATGATGGACAATTATTTTCCTTGTTGGCTGTCCTGGATAGTCTGAATGAAATATGTGACCACAGCTGAGTTTAAATACTATTTGAAAAAACAAAAAACAGTTACTGCCTTTTTTTTTTTTTTTAACTAGCTGATAGCCTTGCAGATGTTCTTACATAAAACAAGAGAGAGAGATCCAAAGACAAGTCACAAAAATGATCTGATGACCTGGCTTTCTACCCGATGGTTAAAGGCTTATTGGTATTGCCAAAAGGAAACCTAGCAATTCATGAGAAGTGCTTCCCATTAAGAGAAAATATTAAGTGTGGTGACTTCTGAATCTAGTGAAGCAAGAACCAATGGCTGCAAGCTGAATTAGCCAAACCCAAAAAAGAAATTAGCCGTTAAAATCATTTACTGGAGGATGTGGCTTCCTTCAGTAGAAGGAAGAAATTCCAGTTGAGCAATCAAATAGCAATTACCTCCAGTTAGTACAGCCTAATTTCAAACCAGTGGCCTTCCCTCTAAAGCATACCCAGCCCTTTCATGTTAGCTGTCTGTTTTGACCGCATATTAACTTGTTTCTGATGCACAGACTCTGCTTCAAAACACTCCATTTGTGATTAAACTGAACTTGTTGATCATTGTGTATAATAGCTATGATTACATAGGACTAGGATAGGTGCAGGCTATTCTGAACTACACCTATAACAACACCTACTGTTCTTCTTCTACAAGAAAGTACATTTGGGAGGAAATCTAATACGACTTTAAAAGCTAATTTGATTTGATGGGATACAGCAAATATTAAAGTGATTTAACTGCAGTCTTATCACTGCAAACAACACTGCACATTTTAACAGCGCCATTCCTATTTTTACAAGATTGGATTCTTTCTAGAAATAACTTTAACTCCCAAATTTTCCAGACTTGTTAGGGGGTGGTTACTTCCAAGTTTCTGATACATGCTTTCAACTAGGAGGTGACTTTTATTTAGTCTTTAGTCTTTCTTTCGAGACAGAGGGAGAGAAAGAAAGGGGTATTATGTAAGCATGTTCTGTTTACTCAGCTTTACAACTACCTCGGATGTATCTAATCTCCCATTTTTGCACATTGTACATATGTTATATAGTTTTCTGTAGATGTGCAGTAGTCAGGTGTCCTGGATGTCCTAATGGATTTCCTAAGTACTGGACTAGCACCAAAAACCAGAGAAGGATAATTTCTCACTAAAAATAGCAGTTGATGACAAAAGTATGAGGTACATACCTATACAGACCACATTGTTATTTGTTATACCAGCCCTGCCTGATCAAAATTTCACTAGTCTGTCCAGTACAAGTAGCATACATATAAGCATGTAAGCCAAGTTTTTTTTTAAATCTTATTACTTTTTTCTAACATTCCAGTCTTGTCTCCCAAATTTTTCTTCCCTCCCTTCTTCCCTTCCCCACATATTAGATCTGGCAGTTCAGCAGCCTGTTTTCCACAGTTAACAAATGGCAGTTCAATGATGCTATAAGCATGTCTGAACACCTGAAGAATTGTCCTTTCTACGACGTGGAGCACAAGAAGGACCCTGTGTTGCTGCCAAGCATGCATGAACCTCAAGAACAGATTCAAAAGACCCTGGTCTCTACTTTCAAGCGCAGATTCTGAACGACCTGCATCTTCTTCCCCATGGTCCTTTCAAGGTCATTTGAAAGAAGATTTGAAAATTCAATTGCGAAGATTGTTGTTTTTAACTCTTCTTTGCAAATACAAAATTGGCTTTCCTCCAGCTATATCTGGAACATCCTGCATTTTTTTCCTGCATTAATTTAATTTTTAAAATGTTCTGGCACACTGCTCACTGACATCATGTCCTTTTTATTTCTTTTTCTGTTATTTGCTTAATTGAGAAACCTGGAGAAAGTAATAAGGACATTGTTTGAAAGTAGCATCTTGGCAACCTTGAAGATAGGCAACTGCTCTGACACTATGTCCCTGAGAAAAGCAAAGGCAGTTAATGTAGGTCCATTTACATAAGTACAGCTTGATACATAAGTACACCTCTCTGTTGACTGGAGAAGTTTTGAGCACACAGACAGGTGTTCTCTAACCTGACAGGAATTGCTAAAGTACTCTGGGATGTGGAAGGAGGTGCCAAAGTCAGACTGCAGCTTTGGCAAGTGTAGTCATTAAAGGTGTGAGTTAGAGAGGGGAATGTCTCAACCACCATCCCTAGGGACCAACTTGGGTTAAGATGCAACATCTAGGAGACTAGACTTTGATCCTTTTCCCTTGGATACTTCTATAACATACACTGGAGATATACAGGCTCCTAAATCATCAAGAGAGAGAAAAATTCACCCTGGTAAATGCACCCTTTTGTAAACTGTAAATTTGATTAAACCAATAAGATTTATTCACAGCCTATGCTTTGGCTATACAGTAGAAGCTGAAAATCCATAGTGATCTTTAGATTGGTCCAGTTAATCCCACTCTGGAAGATGGAAGATGGTATAGCAAAGTCCCACTGAGAACGGTGAATCCCACTATTAAAAGATGCCAGTTTCTAGAAACTTCTTACTTTAATTCTCACTTAACATAAGAGGAGGATTTTGTATCAGGTGAAGGTTAATTAAACACAGCATGTCAGCCAGGCTAGCCTGATGTTGATGGTCCTACTCATTCAGAAGTACTAAAGAAGGAGGCTTGGGCTTAGATTTATCCTTCAGCCTCTTTGTTTAGGCTCATAATTTGACTAATGGAAAATAAAAATAAATAGGAAAACTTACCCATGAGAAAGTTAGGCACCTAATTAGGATTTAGGACCCAAAACATTTCCTGAAAGTCAGCTTGATATATTCAACCAAAAGAAACATGGCATTTGTTACTTTCTAAAACAACTCTTTTGCTGTGGAGGGACCCAAACTGGGAAAATGGATCCAACTCAGCAGAGTACAAAGGTTTTTCTCTGTTTACACCTCACACGTTAGACCTTCATGGCTTGGATCCCATTAATGCTGCCCACCTGTCCTGTGACGGGCAGAAACAATATTCTACACACTCTGGAGACTGACAAATTTTTCAGCGTTTCTTTTTGTTGGAAAAATCAGGAATGAGAATGACAGCTTCATGGACTTCAGAGAGTTCAGAACAGGGGAAAAAAAAGCTGAGGGCAATAGAGTAGGAAGATTGGAAACAGGAAAGTAAGTGGTTTGGACAAAGCAGACCTACCAGAGTAAGCTGACATGGTGAGAGGCAAGTGGAAAAAGGTAAAAAGGAAAATGCATGAAGGGAAGTGGGATGTGGAAGAGGTGATGGGACTGGAAATGTCTTCTGAGGAAGTATTTCAATTTGACATAAACAAGAAGGATGGGAAAGCAGAGCAGAGACACGTTCAGTAGAGTACATGGAGAGCATGAGACAGGGGATGGAGAATTTATCTTTAGTCATTTTGGCTTCTGCTAACAAAGTAAAATTGCATGAGCCTGGTGAACTCTGTAAATTGCATTCTGTTCTGAATCATAATCATGACTCTTGTTCTATAGTGTGACTTCCATTCTGGGCTAAACTGGTATGTTGTTGAAAGAGCTGAGAGGCATGGTAAAACACAAAAAGTCACAGTTTTGATGTTCCTGTATATTCATCATTCACTGCCAACAAGTGATTTATGGAAACTGCTTCTCTTTGAGGAAGTTCCTAGGAATTCCCAGTCAGTGTTATATAATAACATGGGAGGGAGGATATCTCTTAAGGGGCAAATGGGTAGGCCACATAGCAACAAATACCATAAGTCCAGACTGGAGAAAGAAATTACTTGCAGGTCCCCAACTCCCTACACTGAGTGAACACTGACAAGATAAAGTTTGTGTGAACAAAGTTATTTTGTAAAGTTCTGTAATTCCTTGTTGCTTTCTTAAGAATAAAAAATATTATGGTTAAAAAAAAAACAATGAAATACTTGTCTTGAGTTTCTTAGTTTAATCACTATAATGTACTTTCAAATCAGGCAGTTCCCATATCCTCATATTCATTACTCTCATTTCCTCTGCTCTGTTCTTCAGTTTAGTTTTCCTGCATGTAGGACTACGTATCAGCTACTTTTTTTTTTCCTCTCTGCATAGTCACCTTCTCCTTCCTGATTCAATTATTTATTTATATTGCTGAAAAACTTTTTCTATTTTTGGAAGCTTCTTTTGAGTTTGACATATCACATTATTTCTGCAAACATGTAAAGAGTTTTCTCTACAAGTTTGTCCCTTCTTTTCTTCATGATTTTTAGTAACATGGTGCGTCTGGCTGCTCATCCAGGTAGTTGGAGAAGAATTTTTGCTTCTTTACTCGGGATACCAGTTCCAAAACTGCTGTGCATCTCTCACAGAAATTCTGGGCTTCTTTCGCATTCATTTTTTTTACCTCTACAGACTAAGTTAATGAGTTCTTCTAAATCCTTTAAGTTTTTTCCTTTTGAAAAACCCTTCATACACAGACCTGCTTTTGCTTAGGTTCGTGCTTAATTTATACGTAAGTGAACTATGATCACACAGTCCAAATTTATTTTTGATGACCAGCTGCTCTACGACTTAATTGCTATTTACAACTAAGTAATCTTTTGTTGGTTCAATAACTGTTTTGCGCAGGAATTTATTATCTGTTATAATGAAAAACATAGGTCTAAGCCCAATTATGATGATCGGTGTTAAGTCTTCAGTTCATAAATGTTAAGTTAGTTTCTCACTGCAGCATAGTTCCTTATGGGATCTATCTCATTTAATATTAGAGCTTTCCCTCTATGTCCAATGACAATCTTGAGTCAATCGCAGCTGACTCTGACCTGAGATACCCTTATAGTATACAGTCATCTCTGTTAGTACTCCCTGACCTCTTCCACCTAGCTGAACTAGATAGTCCATTAGCTGTTTGTATTGGCTGCCTGATGCTTCTCCACCAGTACCTTCTCTCTTCTTGCTGTCTAGGCTTCCGCCCACTTCATTTACTACTGGGTACTTATTTTACTGTCTTTCAGCTCCCTGCGTACAAAACCAGACACATCTATGACACAGCTCTTTCAGCAGTTGCAGCAGCAGCATTAAATGGGTATCTTGGACCAGATACCTACACAGAAAAAAAATGCATTTACAAGCTAGCTTAGTGTGCTACAAAACTTTTTACCAAGGCCTTTAGGCTGGCTGATCCAGCTGGCAAACGACTGCAGCTCCAGAGAACAGCAGGAAGACTCGGCTCTACCAAACCTTTAGAAGGATTTGATAATCAAGAATAGTCAAGAGCAGTTCATTCCTTCTAAAAGACTAATGCTATCATTATGATTGCGTTTGACCCTCTCTGAAAGCACTAAGTCACGATTCATTCAGCACCAGCTGCAGACTTTCCCCAACTTCTGTGTAAAAAGGCTAATGGCCTAATCAGCTCCTCTAGGCTCAAAGTGTAGCTCTGGCCCCTTGAGAGCAGCTGGAGAAACAAATTAGGGAACGAAGCCTTGTCTTGACAGGGAGAGCAGCTGCCTTTCCCGGGTGCAGGAGCCTCGGAGAAACGGCACTCTGCCTCGAGGTGTGCCGGGAAACTGTGAGCGCAGCCCCGGCTCATTGGGCAGTGGCACATGATGGGCTCTTCCCTTGGCCTGTTGCAGCTGTACGCAAGGAGGCAGTCTGCTCCCAGAACCGGACAGGGAGAGAACAAAAAAAATTCAGGGATCCTAAAGGTAATTCCAGTGAAGCCTTGAGGGGCAGGAAGAATTAATGTGCCTCTGACTCTCTTCCAAGTAGGACTAAAGCACTGCGTGTAGATGGGATTGGGATGCAAGGAGTAAACCTGCCTCAAGACTTGCTTGGATGTGTACATGAATATGCCCATGGCAAGGGTAAGCTGTGTCACTGCCAGGGCTAGCAAGACTGTGAAGAGAGGAACAGACCAGCAGAGGAAGAAAAGCAGCCACTTTCTCTGACTGTATCTCAAGGAGACAGAAAAAAAGGCAGAAAAGTATTTAAAATACCATCAGAGCTTATCTATTTCCTATCTTATGCCTGTGCAGCAGCTTGATTTCTTTCTGTGATTTTTTTTTTCCCCTCCAAGTGCAGGCTCGCCTGGTTTCTGGCTCTGGCACAGCACACTGCCAGGCTCTCAGTGCTGTGTCATAGTGCCTCAGAGCAAACCACCTTTCAAGTGTTTCCTTTCGCTGATTGACAAAAAACAATGAACCAACCAATTTCTACCCCAAAGTCTCTCAGGAAGCATAACTCTTCTAAAAGGCACACATGCAGAGAAGTTACTGGCTTCATGCAGGGCATGGTGTGTGCAGAAGGGAACAGGCAGCACATGGCAGGGCACCAGGAAGAGGCAGGCACAGCACAGAATAAGACAGTGAAAAAATAAAACATATGCAGGTCTGCAGATACCCTTCGCTCCCGGTCAAAAGCTCTCTGCTTTTCTGCTGTCTCAAGACTTACCATTAAGGCTGCAGACTCAGAGGTTTGGTGAAAAAATAGTTAATGGGTTTCTGCTGTTGTGTTGTAAGAGTGAAAGTGAAATCAAAAGCGATCTGGGGGGAGCTTTGATTCCTGTAAAGTCTTCTGGGCCTGGAGGCCATCTGGAAACCCCTCTCCTCAGGACAGCATGATTCAGGAGCTCCTCTTCTTCTGCAGCCTGCTTGGTCTGAATGCAGGTGAGTTCAGGTGTGTGGCAGTGGGACCTTCCGGGCAGCTGAAGCGCGCTCAGCAGTGGGAGAGGGGAGATCTCATGCTTACTCCCTGTCACCCTCACCCCTTGAACTGAAGTGTCCAGGTAAAAGCTTCTGAACAGCTCCTTCCCACAGAGTGCAATATTAGAGAAATCAAGGGGCTGCTTTGGCTGTGGTAGAAAGAGGAACCCTAAAGTAGCCAGACCATGGCTTCATGTTGATTTATCCTTGCTCTCCATCTAAGAGAAAGGGTAGAAGGTTGCAGTGGGATTCATGAGTGTATGCACATACAGGCCTTGAAACTGCTTAATTCCCCTCCCTACAGGGCCAACAAAAAATCCCACAGCAACGCCTCCATTGCAAACGGTGGATATAGTCCTGGACTGCACCTACGTGGGGGAAGGTCGGAGGGGTGCCCCTGATCTAGGTGCCTTTGGTGGCTCATTCTCCAAGGACCCTGCTACCCTTGTGCTGAGGCGCGTCAGCGTCAGAGATGATGGGATTCTGGAGGATGCGACTGTTTACAAAGTGCCACAGGAAAAAGCTGAGTCCTCTTCTCACATTGTTTTTGAAGTCTCAGGTGAGTTGGAGAGCTGAGGTAAGAGAGTCTCCTCGTGGGTTTTGACCATTTACAAGCTTTTCCTTTAACTGAATTCAGAAAACTGATTTTTGAGTGGCAGAAAAATTTTACACACAGTTCCTTGAACTTGACAGTCATTAAAGGAAGGAATTCTTGGAAGACATTAGAAAACTTGTGCTGAGATATCTCCCTCCTGCTGGGGCTATTCTGGATTGCTGGGAATAGTTCATAAGAAATCTCTCAGGAATTATACCACTATGCAGTATTATTGCACCCTTAAAGAGCATTCCCATCCTTTTGTCTGAAGAAAGAGAAGATGCTTTTTGCTAGCAGAAGCATAGCAGTAAGTGAGTACAAGCAGCGAGTAAGTACAATGAACAGTCAAAGGTCATATGACAATCAATGACAAACCTCTCATATCCTTTCCAAGCCTTCATTTGATAAGTCTGGCATTACATTGCAGGGCTCTGACTGACACTTGCAGCACATAGTGCCTCTCCAAGGATGTCTCATCAGCTTGCATTCGCTTTCCCCATTTTGGTCAGATGGTTAAATCTCTCCCTCTGTTTTCACAGCCCCATTGGTGTCCATCCCACATGCACAGTCCCTGCTGCGTGCCGACTGCAACAAGGAGGAAGTGAACTGTGAGATCTCCCCATACAACTTCCAGCAGCATGGCAAGGGGCCCTGCTGGTTCATGGGGACCCTGCGGCTGTCCAGCGGAATCAGTATTGCCCTGGTGCTCAGAGGCCCCCACTGCAGCGGCGAGCAGGCCGAAAAGCCAGATGCAATACTGCACCCAAAGCTGAGGATCCCTTTGACCAAGAGGGGGACAGTGCTGACCACAGGTGACCAAATGCCCCTGATGGACATGAGGGGAAGAAAGTCTGCCTCCCCAAGAGCCCCATTCCCTGCCCTCTCACCAGGATCTTAGGGCTGCTGAGAGGACTCACATAGGGAAGGAAGGGTTCCATTGTACAGGTTCCTCTGTAAAGGCCCTTCCTCAGGGACAATCTTGCTCCCCTCATCCCTGCTCTCAGGGGTTTACATGCTTTGGGCATCCCCTGAGGGTAGAAAGCACTTTGTCCTTCAAGACCATGCCATGTACTTGGTGTCCAGCTGCTTCTCTGCCATGTTAACCGCACTAAGATAGCTTCCTCCCACTCTTCGGGCTATATGGCCTGGGGGCACTATGCAGCACACCTCCTGGGGGTATGGAGTTCAGCGTGAGCAAGTGCTCTCTCTAAAACCGTATCTGTTTTACAACCTGTTTACCTATATCTTTCTTTCTATTACTAGTTGAATTTCAGTCATCATCACGCAACACTTCCCTGCAGACCCACCTTGGCAGCTTAGTCACCCTTGACTGCCGCTTTGCCTTGGCTCCCAGCTCCCCACTGTCCTCCCTGGAGTGGAGGAGGCAGCGTCGAGGCAGTGGGCGAAGCCTTTTTCGATACCAGGCAGGAAGCACAGGTGCAACAGTGGAACCAAAAGTCCATGTGGATTTGCCACAGCTGCTAGAAAGTGGAGATGCATCACTTAATCTGCAAGGAGTGAGTGTGGGAGATGAGGGCGCATATATCTGTTTGGTGTCCACCTCACAGCACCAGATCCAGCACATCATCCAGCTGCAGGTGGCTGGTAAGGAAGGCAGCCTGGGGGCAGCAGGAGCCCAAGTCCCCAAGGGGCTGACATTATACTGCGCCCTTATCCTACTGCCTCCAACATTCATGGGGCAGCACATCTTTCCTCCCTATGGACAGGGACTTTTATACCCTGCTGATAGTTTCTGAATAAGTTCTTTTCCTGTTTATCTCCCATCAGAGCCTCCACAAGTCCGTGTGATTCCAGGGCAAGTGTCTTTCGAGAGAGATGTGACTACTACTCTGACTTGCAACATTGATGGATATTACCCCCTGGATGTTTCCGTGAGCTGGATCCAGAAGACTGCTGAAGATGAAGCAGAAATCACTCTTTCAAGCACACGTTTCTCTAGCCACCTACAAAACCATGATGGCACCTACAGTATCTCCTCCTACCTGAGCATCAGTTCAGCCACAGTGCAGGCACCAGGCACCTACAGCTGCCGTGTTTCACATGTGGCCCTGGAGGAACCCATCTCTGTTAGTGTCTACCTGAAGGCCACAGGTAAGCCCTAACTTCCTGCCACCTCACCTACCCACAGCAGGGATCAAAACCTCTGGACCTCCTCAAGGACTGAGGCACCCAGCTGAACTTGATGTTCAACTGGATGCTATGTTTGCTTGGGAACTATAGCCCCAGCAGCATTAAAAAAAAAAGCAAAACTGCTTTTATCCCTGGGGCCTGATATGCTGGTGCAGTCCTCAATCTCTTTACTAATGGAAGATTGTGCTTATATCTCTTCCTGACCCAGCAGAACAAGCAATCAAGTTAATTGCAGTTAAATAAGTTACAACACGTCAGTCTAGGCCAGTATAACTGGCCCTGTGTCTGGATGGCCTTAGCTCAGATTTCATGTCCCATTTGTATACCTTACTAGAGCATGTGCATATTCAGTTCCTGGGGGAGCTTGTTTAACTGGGACAATTTGCTTGCTGTCCAGCTGCTTAAGCAAACATAACATCAGCATTTCTCCTCTTCCTCAACAGAAAAAACAAGGTCAGAAGGACTGGCAGGAGGCCTCATTGCTACTGTCATTTTCATCATTGTCCTATGGAGCCACTTCTCCAGTATGAGAAAAGGAACAAGGGACATCACAGAATCATTATGGTTGGGAAAGTCCTTCACATCATTGAATCCAACAGTAAGCCCTTCAACACTGCACCTGCTAAACCTTGTCCCTATGTGCCTTGCCTCCACATTCCTCGAACACTACCAGGGATGGTGACTTCACCACTTCCTCGGGCAGCCTGTTTCAATGCTTCACCATTCTTTCCATGTAGAATTTTTTCCTAGTATCCAACCTGAACCTCCCCTGGCGCAACTTGAGGCCATTATGCTATGCTCTAGGTGACCCTGCGTGTGCAGGGGGGTTGGACTAGATGACCTCTAGAGGTCCCTTCCAGCCTTAAGCGTTCTATGATTCTATGATTCTATTATTTCCTCTTGTCCTATTTTCAGTACTATGCCCTGGAGGGAAACATGGGAAGTGCATAGGCTGGAAACCCTCTCACAAATGACTCTAATTCCTCACAGGATATGGTGACCTGAATTATCAGCTTGGCAAGGTTGACAGGGTTGGGAGAGGGGACATGGCAGGGGGGAACAGGAGGGGTCTGGCTCCCTTCTTCCTCTTCTCCCCTTATCCCCATCAGTGTGTTCTCCCTGCTTACCCTCGCTGTCTGTAACACTTGGCAAATGCCATAAGCCACTTCAGCTCATCAAAAACAGCAAATTAAAGCCATCAAAGATCTGCCAAATTCTTCAGTGTTTCAGAGGGTTAAATTGGCTCAGTCATGCCAGTGACTACCAGGGTTGGGATGGGAGCAGAGGATGAGGAGGACAAGGAAAAATTGGTGTCTGCCTCTGCCTCCTGACAGCTACAAAGCAGTGAATGGGCTCAACTGGGGAGTGGGGTGTCTCATCTCAGAGGGCTAGTTTGTCCTCTGATTTTATTCTGCTTGTGGAAGCAGCTGGAAAGGCAGTAGGTGGCATATCATCCCATAGCTAGTAGTCCTTACTTCCTTAGAGTGCTTCTTTGCAGGGCTGCAATGCTTTTCCCCATTCATTTCTGGTGAAAGGTGAGGTGATATTTTGCACCACTACATAAATTTTACTCTTTTTTTTTCCTTTTTCCTTTCCAGCTAAAGTCTGAGCAACTTCTAAGGGCTTCAGAATGAAGGAAGTCCTTGCCTACATTTATTTGTTTCCCTTCTGACAAATTTTGTTCAGGAGAGTGAGCTCTGCCCAAATATTAGCAGAGCAATTGGTCAGTATAGGCAGGGCTCCCCTTCATGAAGGAACTGAGTGACCCAGAGGACATGGAGTCACCAAAAAAAGTCTTCATCGTGGGAGAGAGACAGATAACCTCAGCTCATTGCTGGGCTGTGACATTGGATGTAACGTGTATACATTTCTAGAAATGCCTCGACTCCTGTTTCAGGGAAAAGTATAGAGTTGAGTAATTGTATGACGATACAGAATATGTGCACATTTTGTAAACAGGTATTCAGAATACATATATGTGCATATTGTATATAGGTGTATGACTGTAGCTGTATATATGTTTGATTAATGCCTCAAAGACATGCTTTTAAGTAAGATATTGTGTGTATGTATTTGTCTCAACTGTCTGTAGGGATGGGTAAATATGTATGCAGAATTGATACTTAAAATGGTAAATCCTTCAAGTTAGGAAATTACAAGTTAAACTGTAAGTAAATTGATCAAAAAATGATGAAAATGCTTACAACAAAATTCTATAACATAAATTTCACTAATAGAAGTTTACATGATCTGGTTCTACAGGTCTGAAATAGGCAGAAATATAATCCTTTTCTGCCTGACAGAATTTGAAGGTGTATGAAGGTAGCACTTAGAAATCTTACATAAAACAAAAGAAGAAAAGTAGAAGTAAGCTTTCTGCCTGACAGAATTTGAAGGTATATGAAGAAATCTTACATAAAACCAAAACAAAAGAAGAAAAGTAGAAGTAAGGTATAGATGGAAAGGAGCTATATGGCACACAATATAAATGAGAAGTAATGAAGCATACAAGCTGATAAGGAGTATTGAAAATATCCGGAAAACCTGGATTGCTGTTAGCACTAAAGTCACCTTGAAATTTTAAAAAATATGTTGGGTAACCAAGCAATTCCAACAATATCCTAGATCCTTACCAGATGGCTGTAGATAAAACTGTGATAGAGGAGATTTCTGATGTAGATTTTTTGTATACATAAAGAAGCAGAATTATGTATTCATATTATGTGAGGATGATGAACAGCTTTCTAGTCTACCTATAAACTAAAGAGACTTTCTAACAGTATCTACTAAGTTAAAGTATTTTCAGATCAGCAGGCCAAGATGATTAATGCCTCACCATCATAAAATTTTGGCCTGAGGAGATGTTGGGTCCGTTGGAATCATATACTTATAAACCCTGGAATATGAAAGGAATCCAAGCAAAATGACAGAGATGACTTATATGGTTCCATAGTAATAGTCACAGGCAAGAGAATGTGAAGCTAATGCAAGGCAGCTAACAAAAACTTCAAACTGAAAATAAATTAGTAATTTAATATGTGGTTTCACTTTTTAAAAGGTGTGACAAAGATGCCTAATGTATTCTTTTACAAAATAATTCATTTGATTGATAAAAATACCAGTTGCAGATTTAACAAACCAAGACATTTGTAAATAAGCATGACCTTCTAAAGGAAAAAATAGCTATGCATACAAATATGTTGATTTGTGTTATATAGATTAATTACTGGCTAACTCACAAATTTCAAAAATAATTGTCCAAAAAGAAATATCAGTCACTGCTAAAGGTGAATGTTTGTCTTACAGGGAGCCCAATGCCATTGAATGTTCGTGTCTGGAAATATAACTACAAAAATTACTTTTGACACAATTTGCAAATGGCAAGAAGATCAGTAGCTAAAGCTGAGAGACTCATTCTGATTAGTATTGCTCAAATGTTTAATTAAGCATATTCAAACAAAGTAAGAATGCTCAGTAATGTCCATGGAATCTCCCAGGGTGCAAGTCCTACCATGCTTGCTCAACACCATTGACCCATAAATCACTATTAGTCATCTGACCTGAAAAAAGATACATAGCAGTAACTACTGGAAGATTGTAAGTGCTGGCAGAAGCAGTTTTTTGTTGGTATCATTTTCTCTTCATTTTTGATGCCGTACAAATAAATTAATATTTTTAGTGTTGAATGAGTGTTTTTTATTTGTGCGCTTCCCACGCAACTCTGTGGAGACAAGCCTTTTGCAAGGCTATGTGGCTTGTGAACAAGCAGACTTTATGTTGTGAAGAAAAGGAAACAGGACCCTCACTCAAGAGAAATGTAGCCTAAAACCTGGAACTCAGAAAAGAGAGCTCACAAAGGGACTAGGTGTTGAGAAGATGATTAAACTCCAGCTCTGAACGGAATACTCTTCCCATTGCTCCCAGAGCTTGCTGCCCTGGAGCAGGAATCAATGAGGCCACTCATGGACTAGTGGAATGGACATGTTGAAAACTTGGAGGTGGTCCAAAACTAAATGATGGGACCAATTAGAAATCTAGGAGAACACCTTATGGGAAGTTGGAGACATTACTCTGATTTTACTAACCTAGTATCTCATAGTTACATCACAGAAAATACAGAGTACTAGTGGCATCATAGCTTGTAAAGAAAATCCTAGCAAGAATTAAAATCTGCAGTTTAAATTTATGCATGTTCAAAATAAAATAAGTTGTAATATACTCACGAGCAAGGATAAAGCACAGAATCACAGAATGGTTGAGTTTGGAAGGGACCTCTAGAGATCATCTAGTCCAACCCCTGCCCGCTCCAGCTGGGACACCTAATGTTTTGGCTACCTCTCAGTGAAAACAGTAGACTAACTCTCAAGGTCTTCAAATAAAGTCCAGATTACATCTCCCTACAGAAAACAAAGCTGACCTTTATGAAGCTTTTTCCCACCTCAATACCACATGCTCAGGCTGAAGAGCTTCAAATTCCAGCAGTCATCCTTGGCCTCTAATGGATTTATAATGGAGGGCCTAATGTATGGGAATAGTTTAGTGCTAAAATCCCTCTCTCATAGTTCCCTCAGGCAATGATGGAAAGTTAGTCATTTAAGTCTAGTGCTCTCCTACCACACATTACTTCCAAATCAGAAATCAGCATCAAGCTCCATCTCAAGAGCTTGGCATTACAGCTTGCTATTGGATCTGCTCACTGAGTAGCCAGTGGTTCACACATGTAGACAGCGAAATTACTCCCACACAGATAAGGCTGCATCATTTTGAAAGCCCACAAACATCAAGGATTTCTTTTGAATTGCTGAAGAGCTCATTCCTTAAGAGAAAGTAATCTTACAGCTATACATTTGGCTGCTTCTCCCAAGAAAAGAATTGGACTGCAGGAACTCTGCCTCTGGGCTTTTCTGTATGAAGAAGGCAGAGTGCTAATGAAGGGCAGAGAGATATTTCAATAGCTCTGTGTGGCTACATTTCTTGGTAACTGACAGTATTTTGCCAGTCTTTTGATAAAGTCACTGCCTCCAGCCTACTCTATCTAGAGTTCAATGACAGGAGCAATGTTCAGTTATACCAGTTTATGAACTCCTTGTAACACTGTATTCTCTCTGCACTCAAAAATAGATAAATAATTTTTAAAAAATGTGATTTCTCCTTTATATGAAGAGAAACTGGGACTTTTCCCCAAAGTCTTCAGCTCTTTTTACAATCACTCCTTAGTTTTACTCTCAGACAAAACTTTTCTGCAGATCTTCCACTCCAGTACTTCATGCCTCAGCATGGTATGTCATGTTAGGTCAGTCCAGCTCCTATCCACTGCCAGATATATTTCTCCTAGGTCCACTGAAAATGCTGCTTCTCCCAGCACACAGAACAGTGGGTTCACACACATTTCCTTCAGTGATGATCACTCATCAATCCAGATGAGTGGTCCCCTCCCACTCCCAGATGAAAGATAAACTGAAAAGCTCAAAAAGCTCAACTGGAGCGGGGAAAGCTGATTTCAGGCTGTCCTCTGGGGCTAGCAGTTCCTGGTAAGGGCCATCGTAGCCCAGGTCACGTATGGCAGAGCTGTGGTCAGAGTTGACTTCAAATAGGGATGAAGGTCCGCAGGGCCAGACATAGCAGAGCAGAAGCGCATCACCTCAGGCTTTCCTTCTCTCCAGCAGCAAATAGCAGAAAAGTCAGGGCCAACCCTACCCATGTCCCCAGCAGAATGCAGTGGTTGCAATAGCAGGTGCTCCTTCTCTCAGACTTTGTCCCTAAAGTTCCTGAAGCAGAAAAGAGAGGACCACCACCAGCACCTACACTTCTGCTGCTGACACACTCATTCTTCTGTGGTTGATGTTGTCACCTTCATCAGCAGCTCTGCCAAAATGCTTGGACCACAACACTCTCCATGTCTTACAGCAAGAGCCAGCGACTCTGCAAGTCACAACTGGCTCCAGTAGCACCAGGCAAAATTCATGCAGGTATGCATTCCCCCTCCTTCAGGAGATGGATCACAGCACACACCTCCCTTATATTAGCAGATGATAGTATGGATTTCACAGCCCATGAGGGACAGATGTATCAAGGAGTGGGCTCTGGTTGTATTTAACCTTCACCTTCAGTATATGAAACTCCAACAAGTCGTGGCACCTACTCATTCCAGTCCTTGTCCAAACTGTCCACCTGCAGCTCCAGGAGGAGGAGGAAGAGGAGGCCTGGTTGTAGGGGAGTGGATTCTGCTGATTGTGTAGGCTACTTCTGCTCCCTCGTGCAGCCATGTCTCTGTGCAGAGGATCACTGGCAGCATCCACCACTTAGCACATAGGATACCTTTTGGGAAGCCACAGTTACTGTTGTAGATGCTGTTTTCTTGATTTCCTATTTCTGTATTCTTAAACATTTGGCCCTCATCCTCTTTCCTTTTTTCACTCATTTGATACTGTAATCATTTGATTTCTCCATGATTTCTCTTCTTCTAGCCTCTTCCTCCCAGGAATGGCTCAGGATGAAGAGTAAGAAAAGGGCAAATATATCACACTTCATTAATATTCTCCCAGTCTTCAAACATTTTCAGGTCAGGAACTTTCTGACTGAATGTGGTTTCTGTGGTCCAGTCATCCT